TGGATAAATGTTCCTTAGTGTGAAATATCCAGTTTTCTTTGCAGCATCCCAATGACAGGGTCAGGATTTGGTATAAACAGCCTGATCCCATGGAGTCTTTCATCCAGTAAATGGCACGGGCTGCTGGTGGTGTTTTAATTGTCAGGAGGATGTTGTCTTGACAGGAGCTAGGCGTCACTAGACCCTGTAGTACCAATTTAGCCTTGTTTAAATGCCATAGTGTACCTAAGCATGGTTGCTATCCAGGTGCATCCCTTCATGGCCTAAAGTATGCCTTTTTTTCAGTGGAATACTTCCACATCAGAAAATATGCATTATATTCAGAAATCAGAGTGATGTTAGTTCATTCAAGTGACCTGAATGGTGTATTTGCACAATGAATCAGTGATGTACTGAGTTAGCAAAGACCACTTCCATAACTTCCATCTGTTATTGGGGCAAAAAGGATGTTACTCGCTGGTGGCTTGGCGTAAGTGGATACTGATGGTATAATCTGTGTTTGGCTTCTGCATTTGTTCACTTAAACAGCATACACGTAGAATAATGGGAGTGAGAACTGAGAACAAAATTATCAGTGACATTTTTGATATTGGTTGTTCATGCAAGACTTACCAAGTAAAAACGCCAAATATTTGCCTGTTATTGCTTTCTAAATGCAAGGACTTTTCAGGTATTCTCTGTTACTAATCCTTGTAAATTAAATATGTTGCTTTTTTTGAATGTGACTCTGTGACTGTCACTTTGGATTCAGTAACTTTTCATGAACCTTATGGGGGTGGGAAAGTTAACCTTGCGTACATTTTCCAAACTCATTGTTTAGTCCCTATGATTAAGGCCCTTTACTTTGTAAAAGCATCCAGGACAGGGTCTGTGTTTACCACAGGCTCTAGAAGGAGCTGAAATTGGTTGGGAATTAAATAAAAATGATGTTGTTGTTATGTTTAAAGATTGGAGACCTGCCACTGATTGGTCCCATTCCCATTCCCATGTGTCTTTGTCTGTGCTTAAATATTTATGCTATGCATGTTTGCTTGTAAATACAGATTTATAATTGCATGAACATATGTGTAGCTTTGGTGTGCATCCATGTAATGAGTGGTGGCTGTTCTGTGTCTGTATATATACAGTAGCATCACATGGTATTTGTCCTCTTTGTGCCCATGAAAACTCCTGAAGCTTGATATTGACTCTGTAAACAATAGTGTTTCGATACTGTAAACAACCTTTATTTATCCGTCTTATCAGAATGATGATGATTATGGAAGGAAGAGACACATTGAAATGACATTAAAACAGTCAAGCAGGTAGCATACTAAATACTTTAAATTACAACTTTACGATAAATATCAGGAGTTTCAGCAATAAGAGATTTCTGTGTAATTGGATTGTTGCTGCCCTACCTTGTTAACAAAAGAGTCACTATTATCAGTGAGGAATGTGAAGCACATTGTTACATTTAATGTGACAGGTAGAGATAGAAGGGCCAAGGAGCATTGTTTTATATAACAACCAAAGCACGGTTCAAAAATGGAAGAAATGGAAGACAGATAAGTATTCAGAAGATTACCTGTCAATTTAGGAATGCATTGGAGGATGACTTGGCTAATGAGAGTGTCCCTGAGAAGTCCCAAGTCATAATATCCATAATTTCCAAACCACACTAGAGTCTATATGAAAGCGTGCAAATGATATCTTTATTTATTGTGGGCACAATAAACACCCAGATAATGTTAAATCAAATGATGCTTTCTTTCACTTGAAGTTCAAACACTGGAAATTAGTGTATCTAAGTATCAATTAACCTTCTTGGTAAGTATTTACACAAATCTGACCTGGCTGAAAATGAACAAAAGATGGCAGTATTCACCAAACAAAGTACTAAAAGAATATTTTGTGTCTAAAACCTAATGGCTGCACTGCTTGTGACAGGATTGAAACCACTGACCCTTTTGTTGCAGAATAGTCTTTCTGAAAACTAGGCCATGCTGCCTTATTCCTTACCAATTGCCTCATGACACTAAGTGCTAATACACTAATTTCCATTGGCAATTTGTGAAAGAAGCTAATAGCTAAAATGCTAATTTCCAATGGCAATTAGTAGGGAAAGCTAATGGCTGATTTGCTAATAGTGAGTGTGTGGAAGAATTTGTTATGTGTTTATCAGTTGCTGCAGGGCTGACAACAGCAGTCTCACACAACAACACACACATGTTCACACTTGAACCGACATGTACACACACACATACACACACTGTCACTCCTTACAGACACACAGTCACAACAAGCACACTCACGGAGACACTCCTTCGCACGTAGACACTTGTGTCTAATCAGTATGCGCAGAGGTGTGCTCGTGCCTATGAGAGTAGTATATCGCTGTGAGCTAAGTGCCTGTAATCCTAGCCTAACACTACACATGCACACACACACAGACACACAAGTTTTTGTATTTTGTTGTTTCAGAATCAGTTGCCCTTGAAACCAAGTAGGGTATCTTAAATAGAATGATCTCTCCTCTTTCTTTCTTTCCATCTTTGTCTTTCTCCTCTGTCTGTCTGTCTGTCTGTCTGCCTGCCTGCCTATCTGTCTGTTATGTATCTGTCTCTCTGTCTCTCCCTATAGCATGCTGTTTAGTGCTCTTAGGTTCAGCTACTTGACAGCCCATCACCAGATTCATGGTAATGGTGGACTGGGCTATTCAAAGTCTGTCATCTACCAATCTCCTGCTTGTCGAGGATTTGTTTTTTTTTTTAGAGTCACTAAAAATTTATTTTGTCAGGTTTGAGCTGGAGCCACATCGCCAAATGCCTGCAGTCACATCACTGTAGGGAAGTTGGTTTAGTTGACAGTTAATTCTGCCCAGACGCCACTGCGTGACACAGATTCTCACATGCATACTGTACATCCTACAATATGTACTAGATTCATTCTGCAATTCAGATACAGTATGTGTTCATGGAAACAGCTAAGCCAACTGCATGTCACCACGTACATTATAACTACTGACAGTTATAGACGCTATAAGAGTCCTGAGTCATCTCAGTGTACTTGGTGTTTCAGCAGCTAACACCATGTGCCAACGACGCATAACAGCATGTTTCAGTGATAGTTTGGCAAGACTGAATCCTTCTTCCTACACTCAACTCTCCAACCCCACTTTAACAATATACTATAACAATATAGTGAAGCCTATGATAAACACCAACGCATCATCAGCACATCTGGTACTGTAGAGCAACACACAAAACACTGCAGTTGCAGTGCAATAGAGAAATGGAAAGAATTTCCTTTAATCTTGAGCATCTCAATAGTGCTCATTGTATTTGACATACACTATACCGTATGGGTGTAAATGATTGAAGATTCACTGAAGATTTAAGTTTTGATATACACACAAACCCACACAGGCATAATAACTGATTAGTCACACCTAAAAGACCATGTGGTTAAATAAACATACTTGAATAAAACTATCACTCATACTCAAGGAGAGTACTCAAAACACTATAAACTTAATATATTACTTAAAAAATAATTACACCAGACAATTACTGGTGCTGAGGAGCATGTCAACAAAATGAGCATGTCATTTTTGCAGAATAAAATCAAAAAGTTAAAGTTAAAGTATATATATATTTCTACAGCATGTCTGTGTCTCTACAGATACGACATTCGCCGATCAGCCATAACATTATGANNGTCATAATGTTATGCAGCCCAATATACAACACACTGCAATGCACTGTGAGTTCTGACACCTTTCTATTAGAACCAGCATTAACTTTTTAAGCAGTTTGAGCTACAGTAGCTCGTCTGTTGGATCGGACCACACGGGCCAGTCTTCACTCCCCATATGCATCAATGAGCCTTGGCCACCCATGACCCTGTCTCTGGTTCACCGCTTTTTCTTCCTTGGACCACTTTTGTATTTGTGTATATGTATGTTGGTGTAATATCACGCGACTGAATCGTATTGATATCTTGGTTACGTTCCACCGATTGCTTTGTTGCAGTGTTGTAATCTGACATTACAGAAAAGCCCTATAGGCAATAAATGGAGCTGGGTTTAATTAATTTTTTTGGGTCCTTGAGCATGAGAGATTGTGTTAGTTAGTTTTGAACAAACATTGCCGTGAAGCATGAGGATTACTGTTCCCTAGTTGAAATGAGTATCCCCTCTTCGCCATGACTATTTTATGTCTCTACTGCATTGTCTGCCAGTCCTGCTTTCTCCATCTGTGTATCCCATTATTTCCTTCATCTCAGTTTTGTCTGACCTCACTATCATTCCCTATTTCTTCATCTCACAGTATCTCTACTTACTCTCTCGATCAACCCCCTGTTTTCCCTGCTTTGCCTCGCCTGCCTCAGTATGTCCATCTGTTGTGCTAAACCAAGCGACTGATTGTATTTGAGGCTGTCAGTGAGGTAAATAATCTAGACATATATGCTAGTGGTTTGAGGATTGTGTGTGCATGTGTGTCTATGGGTTGTAGAAGAAATCTTCTGGGGGGACAGGAAGGACATGATGTTTTGGAAGGGCAGACAGGGAATAGGACAGAGTCACTGATTGGCCAGAGCCTCATAAATCATTTTAAACACAAACAAGCACACACAATTGAGAATGCAACCACCTACAAGGATGTAAATGTTCTGGTATTTCCATTGTAATTGATATGTCCATTAAACCAATTGTGCTTGCATTTATCCACCTATATGCACACACAGGTTTACATACTGATTCAGGCACCCAGAAATAGACCAGTGATGCATCGGCAGACATGCTGCCATTACATTACAACTGACGCATTTCCTACTTACATGATGTACCTGTACATAACATTTTGGCAATAAAACACAAATCCATACATGCCATCATTTCTTGCATCTTGCATCTTGCACATTTCACACCTCATTCTTATATTCTATATTTATCTGCCCTCATAAAGCCAGTTTGTGGATGACTGTGTCTCTGCATTGATCGCTGTGTGTCCCTGCAGTTTGACATGCAGCAGCTGTCTCTGGATGAGCTGAAGCAGGTGCTGTTCCACGCCTTTCGGGACCACCTGACAATGAAGGACATAGAGAACATCATCATCACCGAGGAGGAGAGCCTCAATGAAACCTCAGGGAACTGCCCTGAGTATGAGGGAGGTGAGGAAGCTGTTCTTTACTGTTATAAATACCTGTAGCCTACTTATTAAGGGTACTGTTATACTGTAATTAATATGATATCTTGCACATTCATTTGACACTGAGCGTATCCATGACCAACATTAATCTAAATAACTAATTGTATGCTTAATTGGGAAATACACTTATTTGCCGGCTGAGGGTTAGATAAGATGGATTCAACTCTCATATCTGTGCTCTAGATATGCAGCTGGAGCCAAGCGGCAATTAGCTTAGCTTAGCATAAAGAGTTGGAGATTCTTTTCTTTCCAAAGAACTACTACCCACATCTTTAACCTTTTTTCAGCAATTTAATGTAGGTCTGTTATGCTCACTGATGGTTGTTTCTGTTTTTTATGCGACTAAATCGACCAATCAGAGCAGCTGGAAGGATAAAGAATAGGGGATGTCCTCTTGCTATATAGCTAGCTAGCTGTCAAGCTACATCCATAAAAATAAAAACTAATTATCTCTAAATCTACCCTTTCAACATGAAATTGACCAACATGAGCACAATGACATGGCTATGACAGCAGCTAGCTAGCTTGGCTCTACAAAGTTCAAACCATGGATGTATAAAGAGAACTGGATACAGCGTTTGAGGTGGCGCTCCGGTCAGTACTATGAAAGCTGCTGCTCAGTGGAGCCACTGAAGCCAAAAAAGCCACTTCCTGATCTGGTAGTTACTTGCTGGAGCTACTTGTTGACGAACAGTGACGGGGTGTAGTGACCTTCCTGAGTCTCTGCTGGTTGCCTGGCAAGCTCATAATGACAAGACCCAAACAAATAATTATAGCACATACATTGGGGGATTAAACAAACAAGATGAAACATGTTAACTAGTGAGCTTGTGAACTGGACAGAGCCAGGGTATTTCTTTCATCCTGCTTCCAGTCTTTTGGCTAAGCTAAGCTTATTACTTCCTGGCTTTAGTTCTGTATTTAGGGCACAGATAAATCTGAAAGTGGTCTTAATATTCTCATGTATATAACTCTTGACAAAAAAGCAAATAAAATGTCTACTACTTCGTTTGGGCTAAATTTTAGGAAGGCAAATTCACAAATCTATATATAGTTACACATTTTAACATGAATGTGTAGTTGTGTAACCACAAGCAAACGCCACTAATTTACCAGAACAGTGTAGTAAGATAGGAGAGATGATGGAGGAAATAGAGCAGGAATATATTCAGAGTAGTAGTGTAGTGTGGAGGGTGATAGGGTTACACTTTTAAACACATATTAAATGACTTTCTAAGTTGCTTGGGAAAATTCAGTGTGAAATCCTTTATTTTTTATATGCTGCTATTTCAACATGAATATCCACCACACAGGTTTATATCTGTAAGGTGGTGATCCTGAGAGACAGATCAAGAATGCTGAGGCATATTCAAGAAAACAGATGTTGAAATTATGAAAACTATAAACATAATCATGTCAAAGTAATGCATACATGTCTTTAAACGTTAAAGCCAGGAATGAGGAATGGCTTGCTAGGTTTGAGTGCCCAAATGAAACACAGTTACTTCTTTGCTTTAGGGAGAAGAGGGAAACAAAAAACTTCCGCAAGTCAGACTAGGACAAAGGTAAAGACGGATCAAACATGCTAGAAAACTAGGAAAGTCTTAATGAATCCACTGGGTGCTGGCCTACAGTCTCGGGGAGTCCTAAAATGAGACAGCCAGGAGGAAACTTAGCGGGAAAGGGACAGTGAAGAAGGAGATAAGAGGCTAAAGAAGGGATCAGGGAACTGCTTGCTTGGCACTCTCTTTCACCATGTTTCTGGTGTTGAGGACAGGGCATGAAGTGCAGTTAGGAAGAGGAATAAGAACAGTAGAAAGATGTTGAAACAGGAGAAGTAGGCAGGGAGGGATAAAGAAATTATAAAGAGGTATAGAGATTTTCTTGTAAAGAGAAACAGCTGTATGGCTCCCCACATTTAACCCTCTTCCCACATCCTCAACTTCCCCATTTCATGCCTGCTTCCTTCCCATCTTCTTCCTGTCCAATGGGACTTTAGTGCCTTTTACAGTCCCTCTTAGATCCGCGACTCAGAGCTCTGACTTGATTTATTGATGCAGCTTGTGATTCTTACAAACTAAGACAAGGGGGCTGGCAGAAAGGAAACTTTTGGTTGTTGCTCTCGCTGCAAGGCCTGTTGGAGGACACATCTGTCTCTTCTCCTCTTCCTCTTTCAATCTCCAGAGATTACATCTTTGGAGGAAACAAGGCCTTTCAGCCCACACAGATAGGTAGCAGAACAAAAGTTGCACCTCATTCCTCTTGTCTTTGTTTTTGCTGCTGCATAGAGAGTATTAGAACCAGTTTATGCCTCTCATGTACTCATTTTTACGGAGACACTTCCACCAATAATCTAGGTCACAGAAATAAGCTGTAAAACATGGCAACTAGGAACGTAGCTGCCATTTTATCCATATTTGTTTTGGGTTCACCTTGAGAAACAGGTTAAAATCCCATCACTGTACACAAATCAGATTTTTTTTTAATACAGGCCCAACAGAAAAGCCTTTGAGGATTATAGAAAGAGTTCATTCTTCCCACGATTCCTTTTTAATGTTGAGTACTCGCCTTAAATGCCATCCCAAAACCATGTGACTTTGTAATTTATGTAGGCTGAACAATTGTATTGTTTATGGAATATTATTTGGACCTGATGTTTTCATTTCATCACTTAAGGCTATAGTTCAAAATGTTGAGAAAGACAGTTTGCTAACTTACCATGAAGACTGGAAACAGGGAAAGAGCTCGCCTGGCTCTGTCCAAAGAAATCTGTAAAAAGACCAAAGTGTAAAAACTACTACTCATGTTTTTTAGGGGTGGTTATGTGCATGGATGTATGGGAGAACTGGATACAGCGTTGGAGGTGGGGCTCCGTTCATTCCTATCAAAGTTGCTAATTTGGCGCATGATGCCAAACAAAACCACTTATCCAAATCCTCCCATTATCTGAGTGCAGTGATATGAACTATTTGAATAGGGATGAAACCAGATCATTGATTACAATTTATAGCTTAAGGTTTATGAGAAAAAGTATTTTTGGGCCGGTGTGTATCGCGTGACGTTGTCATTGCTGTCATTACACGCTTTGGCCACAATATCAAACTGTCTTCAAAGTTCGGTGCTCTTCCTTGGGGCTTGGTAATCTGCTGAACTATTTCTTGGTTGAGCGCAGTGACTTCTTGGAGTCTCTGCTGGTCACCAACTATAGGAAGTCTGTTTTTCTATTAATTAAACAAGCAGGATATAACATGCATCTGACAGAGTCAAGCCGCTTCCAATGTATGCTAAGTTGAGCTAACTGTCTCCCAGCTCGAGCTCCATATTTAACACACTTACATGAGAGTGGTATATATCTTCTTCTCTAATTCTCCACAAGAGAGCAAATAAGTGTATTTACCAAAAGTATTCCTTTAAACCTGTATTATTAGTATTAGTAACTAATCAATGAATTGACTAATCACCATGAAATGACAACAAAAATATAATCCTGTCTCTTATTTCTTTTCTCTTCTGTTTCACTCCACTCAGTCCATCCGAAGAAGAAGAATCGGCAGACGTGTGTCAGGAAAAGCCTGATCTGCGCCTTCGCTATGGCTTTCATCATCAGTGTCATGCTTATCGCGGCCAATCAGATGCTGCGGAACGGCATGGAGTAACCAATTGCACTGTGAGCATGGGGAGTGGACAGAACAGCCATGACCTCACATCTTGTCTTTGCAGCCAAAGCTGGACCAAGCACTTCTCTAAACAATCAGTTGAGTTTTTATTTTATTTTTTAAGTTTAATTTGAACTTACCTTGTAGAAGCAGACAATGTAGGTGAATTATAGAGAGATATATTTGTTTTGCATTGAAGATGTCACCATGTAGAGTTACTGGACTTATAAAGAAACCTGAATGGGAAAATAATTTTGTTTTTATATAAATCGTGACAATAAATAGTGGGTTTTATTTTGATGTTTTTAAGACGAAGACCACCCTTTAAACTTGATTTTCTAATTAACGAAAATGTTTATCAGGTGCTTTGAGCCATTCCTAATTTCAAAAACAAACAGTGGTTATTATGGACAACTGCATATTTACCCTAGAGAAGTGGCATTGAATGTGATCTGAGTGAATGTGGGCACATTAAATGCATAGTAAATCCCTCACATCATGATAGACACTTTTTGTGACACATCAACATCCTCGGCTCAGTCCACTAATCTTAGGGCACATGAAATCTTTCTGTGTATCTTCAAGGAGCACAACTCAATACTCAGTGAGGGACCACTTAAAAATCATTACTGTCCCGCTATCTCTACTCTTTAGTCTTAATACTGATCGGTTGATTGATTTTGTGTGGGTGTGTAATAGACAGTGCTGTCCACATACATAATGTTAGTTCAGGCTGTCTGAGAGGTGTGAAATGTAAGGTAAAAAACGAGAGATATCAAATCAAATGACAGTGGATCTATGGTTTTGGTTAACAATAGGACCAGGCTGAGAAACATTGTGATATTTTTAGTTATGTGTTGGTAGAAAATGTTTCACCTCAGCATCTCATTGTAATACTGCCCAACTGTGGTAAATATAAACCACACAAAAGCATGCCAGTATATACACTGCCATACCAAACATTACTGTCACACCAGTTTCCCATGGATTTCACTGTATATAGTACTACTTAGCTTGTGTAATGTATTATTCTTCTCAACAGCAGAATGTATGAAGGGTAGAAACTAGTGAGATAAATCAGGGATATACAGTAGAGCTGTGATATATACTGTTGGTACAGCTGTTTTCTTGGGTAAGGTTGCATCCTAGTGGTTTAAATTAGAACTGCAACTAAACACTTGAACGACCATGTCTACAAGGTGTTCAGAAGTGAAGAACAACACCCCTGAATTTGAGCTTTGATATGTTTCAGTGTCACAAAGGGCAGTTTGGTCTGTATTGGAATAGAATATGATTTTCCAGATTGTGTTGTCAAACCGGTGTACAGCTCAGGATTGGATGAGATTGAAGGTGACTGCTGCTGTACCTGTGGCAGTTTCTGGGGTCATAGCTATGTTTTATGGTTCAGACCGGATCGCACTACAGTTTTATAAAGCCTGCTGGGAGGACAATGTTTGGAAAGGACCTTGTAGGAGTTTACAATCGTGCTCCTCTTCTTTTATAATGGAGCCGCCTGAAGGTTGAACATCCCAATGACAACACAGATTAGATTTGAGGATGTTTTTCTTACATGGGTACAGGGCTAGGCGATAAAGACATGTCATTGTTTGTCTACTGGTAGTGGAATAGTATTGTAACTGTATGTTTTTATTCTTTTATTGTTTTTCAAAATTTTCCAAAAAATTGATTCCAGGAAAATTGTCATTCGAAACAGAGGTTACCTGAGGTTGATGCATTTAAAAGAGCCAGTGGTTCGTTATAGTGAACATCATATTTATTATTTTATCTGTGATTTTTTTTTGTGATATATGATATCGTAAAAATATTTGCATTAATATTGTGACGATTATTCCAACCAAATCGCCTGGCCCTATGTAGATGCCCTAACAGCAATGTTTGTTTATTCCTAAATTGCACGGTGCTCCTGGTGCTTGGACATTATTGATCTGGAGGCTAGTTCGTTCCCATTAATACCTTGGAGTGATTATTTGTTCTCTTGTCTTTTGCCGGGGTGGATGAAAGCAAAACTAGATATTCCTGTCAACCATGTGAGTTTATATGGGTTAGCCGAAATATAAAAGGGAGAGGGCTTTCTTTTAAAATGAAAAAATAGCTTTGTAAGATCAAGTATCACAGCAAAAATGTATTATACTGTAAATCAGTATGCATGTTGTTGTTTAGATTTCCATGTCTTTAAAAGGCAGGGAAATCCATTTAATATTTCTTTGTGGTGGCACAACCTTGGTTTAAATGTAGGTATGTATGTACTACTGTCATATTTGACTTTCCAGTTTATACTGTAATAGCCATTTTTTCTAGTTTCTACCAGCTATTAATCAAATCAGAGTGCAGGAGAGGGCATTTTCATAAATATGCAAATACAAGGTCACATCATCATCATCATCATCTCTGTTTCACATCATCTTGGGTAGAGTCTGTGGGCCTCACTGTGGATGGTTAAAATTAACATTGAATACAATATATTGTGTGTTTTAGTCACTCACTGCCTCATCGTCCTGTATAAACTGCTGTATAATGTATGCTACACGTATCCTCGTAAGTCAGTTTTATGTCTTTGATATTTTCAGCACATTGACATTTGACCAATGGACCATGTTTTCACCTTTGTCTATTAGCATCATGGTCCTTTTGAAACCAGCATAGACCACTTATCTTAACAATTCTCTAATAATTGTGCCATTCAGACATCCTTGCATGGCTATGTAAGGGGAAACTCGTTTGAAAGACCTTTTATCAACACTTTTAAAGTTTACATTATTATACTGTACATCTGTAACAGGACGGAGTCTTTTCATGATTTTCATGTTTTTGAAAGTTGCTTTTGAGATTTGTTTTTACCAAAACATGTTTTTACCTTGTAGATTGTATAGAGATAAAAACTAAACCCAGATATGTAATACAACCTTGGCATGCTGCTTAGAAAAGGAGAAAGAAAACAGCAATAGTCACCAACTGAATGGATATTTAAAATGCAAATAACAAGTTTAATCTGTTTAATCTAAAAAAAAATATATCCATATATGTTTATGCAATAAAACCTTGTTTTGATAGAAATATAAGGCATCTGTGTTTACTTGTGAAAGATGTTTATGCCTTTGCCCAAGACCAACAACATATACAAAACAATGCTCGCAGCTACATTAAAAGGTAAAACAATCTTAAAGATCCCTTCAAAATGCACATTAAGACGCACATAGTCTGCTTGGAATAATAATAATGTGTCTGCTGGACACAAGATGTCTCCTACTTCACTGTAAAGTCCATTCTCAGTGTGCACTAGTGGCTTCAAGTTGTATCAACAATTTTCAAAGTTTCATACTGGACTAGGATTGATTTACAAACTATTTGTGTTAATCACGCATGTAGGCCCCGTCCCTTAAAATCTGATATTCTATGAGCACAGAGAAACTTTCCACTTTCAGCAAATGAATGTAAAAACATCCTTCTCATGTTAAACTCTGCACAAATATCATTCTGCACATATTTTTGAGTGGAGTGGGACTTTAAATAAGGCTCCTAAATAACACATAACTTTTGGCAGACAATAAACTGTGAATGTGGAATATTTTCCCTGTTAATAGGTCTAAAACTATAAAGTGGGCTTGTGGCTTTACTTGTCACTTGTTATCATCTTTGTAGTGTCATTTTTAAATACCAACCCTAAAAATAGAATAACAACACAGCGTGGTTTTCACTGAGCGCCCCTCACTGTAGTTTCCCCGTGCAGGTACCAGAGCGTCCATAAGGGTGCTGTGAGTCAGAAGAGCACCCTCTTCAAGTGCAGAAAGCTCACTGTTCTGACACAACCTTCACATAATACATACAGGACATGTAGCACTACAAAGATAACTGCTTCGCGTGGGCTAACCTTGGCGGGTGTGACAGACAAAGGTTAACCTTCCACTGTTGACCTGATCAGCATCTTAAAAACTCTATTTAGCTTGATGCAATTCGTGATGGCTAGAGGTGAATTTACACATTTGTCAGCTTGTGTCACAGAGGAGTTTCCTGTGGAGCAGCGCTGGCATCCACACTCACTCTAAATCATGATAATTAGGGAGCATAGGTCAAACACAAGTGAGAGCAGCCTCATAGCAGATGCACCCGAACCCCATTAACCAGCAGATAATGAACCAAAACATGCCATTAACTGGACAAACAAGGCATTAGTGTAATGGCCCAGGCAGACATTAACAGCTTGTCTTACTGGCAAATCCTTTAGTTCATTCATCTTTGAAATTAAGGGGTTAGACTTTATAAGGTGACTCCAACCTGCTCAACCATTATATGAACGATCAAGGAAATGGACGCACCTAAAAGGAAAGTTTACATTGTCTGTGTATACTTTAGTACACTGTTGTTTAGCTTTTGTTTCATAATTCATGTTGGTAAATTATCAAAAGAGTCATGACATCAGTGAATGATTTGAAGTGATCATGCAGGAGGGACCATGTGTGAAAAGATCATCTCAACTGCCCAATAAAGAAGTCACACTGATAGAGTTATGCATAAAAATGTATTTAATATGAGGTATCCATTGCATGTTTGTAGCTCATATGAACCTCTGGAACAAAGAGTTTCTCTAACACATATGCATGCACAGACAGCATGACTGTAAAACACTGTACTTTCTCCCAGCACTTGGAAACTGATCAACCAATGACAATAAACAGCATCTAGTTCAATGATATACATTTAAAAAAAGCTGCTTATTCTCTCATATCAGATAGTGTGGGATACTTTATATGAAACACTGAAACTGACTTAAAAGGGGGAAAAAAGGTAATTTACCATAGTAACACTGCTTATCCGTTGTTTGAGTAGAATATGGCTTAGAAAATACCATAAAAACACAATAAAATTCTTGTGTTTCCAAAAGTTTAAAAGGCTCGACAATGTAAACACCTACTACTTCTTAAAAAGGATAAAGGCACAAGTGTAACAATGTTTTTTTTTTTTTAGTCCAACAAAAAACAAGACTCACTTGATGACTTAAATTGACTGATCTGCAAAACATGCACTGCCTTCTGTGTTGTAGCGTCACTGCTAAAGGCAGTCATTTAACAATAAATAACAGCTGAGAGGAACACCTCTTCTTGGATGTAAAGTGTCATAAACTGTAATAAAGAGTATTATTTATACTGTAAAACAGCCTTTTTCATACATTTATGTGTTTTTGTACCCATTAAGGCAAACAATGATGCTATTCAAATATTGTTAGCTTTCTGAGTGTAGCTGCTGGATCTCTGAGGATTCAAGTAGTGTTTCCTACAACACAATGAATGTGAGAGACATTGTTAAAGATTAATAAGATGAAGTTATTGTACCCTGATTCGTGACAGACTTTGGCACAGTCTCCTCAAAAGATGACAGTCAAAGGTTGATGAGAGAGAAATGAGACAGGAGAAGGGGCTAGGGATAGAGGCTGGCTGCTGGTACAGGGGTAATTAGGGACAGAGGTAGGAATACAGGGGTACACAGAGACATAGTGAGAGAAGCAGAGAAGAAAAACCGAGGTCAGAACTCTGTGTGTGGGTGACTGTAGTCTCGGCTGCCCGCCGGGCTCTCACTGGGCTTCATAAAGATGCCCTCCATGGCCTTCCACAGGCTGTGCTGGCTGGGGCTCGACATGGCGTGAACTTCCCTCTGACCATGGATCGGCCGTCCGTACTGCTCCCCCGTCACTGACAGCAGAGCATCCGTGGCCT